CAGGGACCTGACGTCGCCAGTGGTCAGGCCTCAGCGCTCGCCTCACCTTAGAAGCAACCTGGAAACCAGCACCAAACCTCAGCAATGCCCCTTTCCTGAACCACCTTCCCTTTTGTTTCATCCTGCCTACTTCTCACTAAAGCAGGAGAGATCTGGATAGATATTTAGCCTGATTTCATGAGTAAAAGGCCTTCATGAGATTAAAACTCAGCATGAAGGGTGGGCACACTGAGTCTCTTTTCTCAGCTATTCTCCCAAAAACCAACAAGCCACAGCCTAGGCTGATGGTGTCCTCCCTCATGCTGGCCCTCTCCCCCTACCATCCCCATCCTCCACCTAATGCCCAACCCACTGCAGCAGGAAGCAGCCCAGAGCCCCACCCGCCTCCAGGCTTCTGCTGCTGGCATGGCCCTCCTGCCGTGCGGTGGGCCCCAGGGAGTCAATGGAGTCAGACAGATCAAGGAGGCCCAGGGAAGAGGAGGGCAGGCTGTCTATAGTCAGAGGTGAGCACCAGGGCACGTCACCCCAGGGGCATGGGGATCTCTCCCCAGAGCCGTGCCTGGGGCTGTGTGTGGGCTCTACTTTCCCGCCTCCACATAAAGTGAACAAGAGTCCTGTACACCACAAGCAGGAGAGCAAGTGGGCAAGGTCCTTCTCAAAGACTCAGACCCTGGGGACCAGGGTCACGTGCCCAGCCACTCCCTGGGCACTCGGAGACCCCCTGAGGGATGCAGGAACTGTGCCACAGCACGGCCACCCATTTGTTCCAAAAAAGGCAGTGTAACCCCTGCCCTCGCCCACAGGGTGCCCCTGCCCCGGAGCTGCCACAGTGCTCCAGGCCTGGGAAAGGGTGCGCAGGCCTGTGAGGAGAACGTCTCCCACGGTTCGTGAATCAAAGTCTCCATCTGCATTCGTTACTCGCTGCTAACTGCTTCTGCGACTCCTGGGGCCCAGATGCAGGTCTGATGCCCAAACAGAGAACCCCCAGGATAAGTTCTGGAAGTCTGGGAGGCGGAATGGAGAGGCCAGATTCTGTGGGGACTGGGTTTGTGCGCATGTGTGAGAGCCAAGTTACTGGAAAAGCCAGCTTCTCTAAATTCACTCGTTTTTCTAGAATGGTAAAAAAAACAAAAAACATTTTCATAAAAGACAGTGTGTGGAGCCAGCCAGAGGTCAAAACCAGATCACAACACCATCTGAGCTGGAAGACAGAGCCGCTGGGCATTCCTCCTGCAGGGCCTGTGGCACGCTCCCCAGTTCCTTCTGTCACCATCACGGGTGTACAGCTCCTTCTGCCAAACGCGGATGTTAAGTCACCCCAGCTATGGACAGGGCCTTCTTAAAATTAGGAGCGATTAATAGCAGAGACCAAAGTAACTCCTCTCGCTCACAGCTCTATCTGGCACAACTGCCCAACAGGCAAGCCTCATTTTTGGGTCATTTTTCTTTGACATTTGGTTTTTTCATTATTAACTACATTTGATTTCTGGAGAGAAAAGATGTCTGGACTTTCATCCAAATTCAAAGCTCTTTAAAATGAAGAATGCTACTTCAAGAAAAATAAACATGTATAACTTTAACAGCCTTTCATTACTCTATGCATTAATTCCCGTAATCGCTTTAACGGTCCTTAAGGATGTAGAAGAGTACATCGAAAGCCACATGCGATGTTATTTTATGTGCCTCACTTGGTACAATGTGCTACTGTGTTCACAGCTTCTGTCATCTCACACTGGAAATAATAAACATGAGCAAGGAAATGTGATGATTCTGCAAACTGTTTGCTGCTGTAACTGAAGGGACTGTGCTTTGAAATGAAAGCAGGAAGGCCAGGTCCTATCAAAGAGGCTCACACAGCGGAGCCAGTTACAAAGCATCTGCCGTCCTCATTTCTCTTCAAAAGGAAAGGGAAGGTCAGCGCACATTTAAGGAATAGTATCAAATATACAAACTCTTTTCAGACAGAATTCCTTTCTCTTGGAAACAGGGCATGTGAGAGATACAGGTAACAAATAGCTTTACATCAGAAAGTAAGAGATTAGGTACAAGTGATTCCAGGCCAGCTACACAATGCAGTCACAGGGCACTGTGAGAACATGTTACAAGCACTGAAAACTATAGAATTTGAACAAACAAGTCCTCTTGGTGAAATATTCGGCAGGTATTTACAGTTCAAAACAACAAACGGCAAACGGTAAGGCATGAAATCTCTCTCGGCAGACCACGCTCTGACACATCCCTCTGTCCAGGTAGGTGCCCGGTGGTGGGACATACTCTGGCACTTGTGTTTTCTTGTGACTAATTTTTCATAATGTCATTCATTTGCAACGCAATTTGGCCACCAGGTAAGCTATGCTCAGAAAGAGCCACACAATCAGTAAATTGGGGCTCAGTGCTAACAGCGGGATGGAACAGAGGAGGCTGGGGTCTAGTCTTAAGTCTCGGATGGGCACCAGGCCGCTCAAGTTCTTCTGGGTGACTACCTCCCGTGTTCCAATGCTGTGAAAAGGAAAGGGTTTGGGAGAAAGGAAAAGAAAAAGGAAAAAGAAATAAGGAAAAAAGAGAGAGACATGCAATGGATTTTATCAAAATTATGGGAAAAAGAGGAGAACCAAAAGATAAAATTTTAAAAAAAGGGATGAAACCACAACAGAAAAGGGTGTGAAAGGAATACCAAAACAAAACCAGCACAGTTACAAGAAAAAGGAGAGAAAGAGAAGTGGAAATAAGAAAAAGTACTGTAGTCTACCGAACACACACACGTAGGCGGGCGGAATGGTTTTCCATGTTCACGCTCTCAGCTGCCCACGCACATGCGGCCTGCCATGCGCTCACATGCTGCGAAGACACGGACCTCAAATAGCAAGCTGAGCATGAAGAACCATTGGGTGACCTTCCCACAGGTGCCTGAGCGGGCGGGGCAGCTGAGCTTGCCCACACTGCCTCTTGATGAGCGGGTCAAACAAAGACCACTTACCTCAACTGTCAACCGCAGGCGGAGCCCCCGCCAGTCAGGCTGAGCAGTGGCAGGCAAGAGCTACTAGTGGCTCCAGCTTTTCAAGTTATTGTCCCCAAGAATGGCATCCAACCCAGCTTCCCTGGAAATTTGGGTTCCCCGCTTTGGTTGCTCCAGGAGAAATGCCTGAGGTGAGAGGCAGCCAGAACCACAGGACTCTGGGACCAAGTGCCCTATGCATGGCCACCAAGAGTGACAGTGACAGAGCCCATGGGCTGGGACACAGTGGTGGCCCCTGAGGACCCACTGGGAGAGGGGCGGGCCAGACGTCCTGGGCTTGCCCAGAGGAAGCGGAAGCCTGGCTGGTCCTGCTGGGAAGTGCCACCCTGACAGGGACACTTTTGGGGCTGCGGGCACTCAAGGACGGTCCCCCAGCCCAGGCAGTCGGGGCATCTCTGTGGCTACGTAGGAAGGCCCACTCTGAGGGCTGCAGTGGGGCTGGAGGCAGAGGGACCACCAGCAATGTACACATCTCTCCCCACCGCCTGGCCCAAGGCGTCCCCCGATAGCTTGAATATTTATGCCCCCCAATTTGGCAAATTTTGAGAGAGCTGGCTGTTCACATTTGGTAGCATGGCACTGCCACTGCCCACCCTGGGCCTCCAGGAGGAGGTGCCCGAGCCTCAGCTCTGTCCCTCACACCGCCCACTCCCCACCGCCCACGCCTGGCCTGCACGCTGTCCTCTCCCACCTGGTCCAATACAAGGGAGAAAGCAGGAGACCCGAAACCCACTCCTTCACTCGGGAGCATGGCCACTGCTGCCTGCTGCCTGTGCAGGGCTCTCTGCTGAACCCAGGCCTGGCCACCACTGTAGCCAGAAATAGTGGCTGAGGACTCAGTCCCCTTGGGCTGGTAGTGCGCACACACATCTTCCCACCGGATCAAGCAGACACGGAAGCCACCTTAAAGCAAATGCATGTGGCCAGAGCCCGAGGTGCCACCAGGTCAGGTGGACAGGCAGCAGGTGCTGGTGCTGAGGATTCTGGGGTGAGCGGAGGCAAAACGGGATGGAATTTTGTTTCTACTAACTTCTTAAATGATTATTATGGTAATATATATGTTCACTGTAGAGATGTCAGAAAATTCAGAGAAACATAAACAAGAAACTTTAAGAAGACAAACATCATTGGAGGTGGGTGGGGTCTGAGAGAGGCAGGGAGGCCAGGGAATGGTGCCTGTCCCTCAGGAGGCCTTCCCTGCTCAGGACCTGGGGTCCTCACTGCAAGGAAAGAAAACAGGCTGACGGCGGTCGGGAGCGCCCAGAAGGGTGGCAGGAGTGGTAACACCCCCAGGGAGGGAGTCTGACTGGTGTGGCAAGTCTGTCAATTTGGCTTAAAGCCTTTCTAACCTAAGAAATCAACAGGAAAAATGTGGCTGGGAAAACACAGAAGTATACTCACACATCATTTAAAGTGCTCAAACGGCCCTGGCAGTGTGGTTCAGTGGTTAGAGTCACATGCGTACTGAAGGGTTGTGGGTTTGATTTCTGGTCAAGGGCACATACCTGGGCTGCAGGTTAGATTCCTGGTCCTAGTGGGGGTGTGTGTGGGAGGCAACCAGCAATGTGTCTCTGACATCAATGTTTCTCTTTCTCTCCCCGCCCCCTTTTACTCTCTAAAAATCAATGGAAAAAATACCCTTAGATGAAGATTAACAAAAAATAAGTAAAATAAAGTGCTCAAAACCGTACACAGCTTAAATAGTCCATGACTTCATCAATTGGGTAAATTATTCTATGCTAAAAATGATAAGGTCCATATTTATTTACCTGAAAAATGCTCACAAGGGAGTTAAATGAAAAAAGCAGGCTAAGCCCAACTGGCATGGCTCAGTGGCTGAGTGTCCACCTATGAACAGGAGGTCATGGTTCAATTCCCGGTCAGGGCACATGCCTGGGTTGTCGTCTTGAGCCCCAGTGTGGGGCGTGCAGGAGGCAGCCAATCAATGATTCTCTCTCATCATTGATGTTTCTGTCTCTCTCTCCCTCTCCCTCTCCCTTCCTCTCTGAAATCAATAAAAATATTAAAAAAAAATAATAAACAGCAGGCTAAAACAAAAGGTAGAATTGCACATATAATTGTATTTGTGTGTTTTGTTTTCTGTATTATTTAGGGGCTGGTTAGCCAATGTGTGAATTAACTACACTTACACCTGTATGTATGCATGCATGTATGTAGGTAGGTATGTATGTAGGTAGGTATGTATGAAAGAACTAGAGGCCCGGGGCACAAAAATTTT